TGCTGTTAGGGACCTCTCCAAAGTACTGAAGAGCAATGGTGTCTCTCTGGAGACTAAGGTGCATCTGATACAGGCCATGGTCTTTGCAATCACTTGTTACGCATCAGAGAGTTGGACAAGGACCAAGGAAGACAGAAGGAGAATTGATGCCTTTGAGCTGTGGTGCTGGAGGAGAAGAGTATTGAGAGGACCATGGACTGCTAGGAAAACAAATAGATTCATCCTGGAAAGGGTTAAACCGGGTGGCTCTTTGGAGGCAAGGATTCTGAGGCTCCATCTAACATACTTTGGACATATTATAAGAAGAGACCGGTCCTTGGAGAAGGACATCATGCTGGGGAGGGTGGAGGGACAGCAAAGGAGGGGAAGGCGCTCTTTGAGGTGGATTGATTCAGTGACTGGGGTAATCGGGATGGGAGTGTCAGAGACAGTGGGATTAATTAGCACAGGACAGAGCAGAGCTTAGGGCTATTGTACATAGGGTCGCTATAAGTCACAAGCGACTCGAGGGCACATAACAACAACATAGGTTGCAAAAGTGACTCAATGGCACATAACAACAACAATATCAATCCAACCCTCATATAATAAATTCCCCATAAGCTACAAATTATAAAATGGGTAAGACTAGAATAATTTACGAGCACTTTAATTTTATACAAGAGTTTTGAGAGTGTATCTCAATCTAAGCATTTAGGGAAATTATGAATTTATACAAAGTTCTATACCAATATTAGAGATAAGCACTAAGAAAACGGAAATTATTAGTTAACAGGGGAAGGGAAAAAGAGTGACAAACATTTCACGGAACTAACTTGCTACTCATTTTATGCCCTGTTTCACAATGCTGAGTCTGTGAACAATCCCCAGCGTTCCAAAGTACATTTAAAATGTGTTCATTTCCTTTATTACTCAGATAGAAGAAAAATAAAGAGTTTTGGGAAGTTACTGTATCCCTCAGCAATTTAAAAAGATACATTCTAAGCTAAATACCAATTGTTTAAACCTACTCTTAGAATTGTCCCTCATTGGAACAATTTAAAGGGGTATGAAATAATTTTAACACAGAGAAAACAAAAAATTCCAGGATCAAAAATGCACTACCTTGTTCCTGGAGACTTTAAAGCTTGAGTTGTTTTACCATCTAAAATTAAAAGTATCCAAACAAATGCCAGCACTATATTTTAGGGGTTAAGAGCATGCCACACAAACCAGCTGACCTGTCCTTACACCCTGTCCACTACATAATTCGTAATGAGATCTCCGAGCCTGTTTCTTTCATAGGTTCCACGGGATCAGTAAATCTGCCTCCCTGCTGACAGAATAGAAATTTTCCAGATGGCATTTGTTTGTTATTGTACTTATTTTTGTGATCTGTTTTTCACTGTACCAGATTTTTATTATTTGGTCGTTCTAACTATGAAAATATTAAGAGAAGGATGCCAACAGATAACGCACAAAGAACCGCATCTGGCCAGAAAGTCTGCATATATTTAAATTTTCAGATTGGTGCAGTCTTCAGAATAGCACCAATGATGCAAAGTTCTAAAGGAAACTTTCATATTTAAGAGGTGATAAAAAAAGAAACAACAAACTCCATACTTGCCAACTCACTAGAGAAACCAATAATGTCTTTCTTAAAAAGCAAAAACCTTCTTTAGTCTTAACCACAACAAAAGATGCCCATGGGAAACCTAATATATGGAATTATCTCCTAACCTAAAAGCAAACAGAAGTGAAGGAAGGTGCAGTCCATTCCTTGCTGGTTTTCTTTTCCTAAGGGTTTTGATTACATTTCCTCCTCTTGTTCAAGCAAAAGGAGACCGCAATTGTGCCTTTGGTTCGCACCATGAAACCGTGTCCGTGCGTAAAGGCTGACATCGGGGACGCGCTCACGCTGCAAAGGGAGCCGCTTTCGGGTAAATGCGATCAGTCAGCACCGGCAGGACGATTTAGGACCAAATGGCATTGACTGCCCTTCACTGACGGATTTTGCAGGCACACCAGAAAGAAGAAAGAGGATGAGCCGGGGACTCGAGGCCGGGGCCGCGGGGGGAGAGGCAGGCGGCGCGAAGCCGCTCCCCGCGCGCTCCGGGTCCCAAGGAGGCTTGCGAAGGGGAGAGGCTTGGCCGGCCCACCACGCTCAAGCAGCCGAGGGCAGCAAGGTCAGACCTGGAAGGAACAGGCGCCCCCCAGGCCTCCCCAGGGGCCGATGCCGCTCGTCTGGTCAGGGATGAGGGCGCCCATTCAACCAAAAGCCCTCCTCAGGGCCCGCCGCGACTCTACGGGCCACCGGCACCAGTCCACCCGCTGCCCTGCTGCCGCCCACGGGAGGCTGGGAAAGGACAAGGAGAAAAGTGGCCGGTCCGCGCCCCTCTGGCGCGCGGCAGGGGTAAAGGGCGACCGGAACGAATCAAGCTGGCCCGTGGGACAGGCGCCCCGAGAGGCCATCGTGTCGACCCCCGTGGTCGCCGCCGTCCAACCCGTTCCTCACCTCATCTCCAGGCAGATCCACGCTGCTGCCCCAGGGACAAATCAGTGCAGCCCACACGCCGCGGGGAGGCACCGAGGAGCTGCAGTCTTGCTAACTATCTCCTCCTGTCCGCCTGTCGATCCTGGAGCCAGCTCGGGATTCTCCCTCGCGAGCCTCCGTACTACGGAGCAACCAAGCTGCGCTCCCTCCCTTCGCTCCGCTGCTCCTCTCTACCTCCTTTGCTCCTTCGCTCCCTCCCTCGCTCCCGCCTATCTCCACATCTCCCTCAGCTGCCTCTCCCGCCCCCATCCACCCTCTCACCTCCGCCCACCGGGGGGCGGAAACAAGTAGCCTGCCAATCGGAAGAAAGGGCCAAAACCCTTCCCACAGCGGGGACGACGGAGGAGGAGTCGAAAAGATGATGGAAGAGGTTGGAACGACAGCCAAATAAGCCAATCAGCATGCGCAAACAAGGAGGGACTAGGCCCCTTTTTTCTTCCCCCACCCCGACTCCCTCCAGGAAAGCATACCCGGAGGTTTCTGATCTGTGATTTTTCTTTCAGGGCTTATAGAATTTTGATCCACGATTTCATTGCATCTTGCCAGTTATCGTTTGAGACACGAGATAGAACAGTCAAGTAACTTAGTCATGGAAGGAAATATAATGGTTGGAATAAGGAAGGGTGTGGTCCTTAGAATGAAATTTCCATAAACCAGAGCCCATCCAGGACCGCAACTGCCCCCATTGATTGGTAGCCTCTCGGTGCAGAGCCCAGCTCCCCCCTCCTAAGCGGAGCATGCCGGGAGTTATAGTTCTGAGTTCGGTTGCTATGGCGTTCTTCACAGCCTTCAGGAGTCTGGCCCAACCCTGCAGAAGTGACGAGCAGACAGACCAATGAGAGCAGCTCCTTGACGCGAAGGGTGGGCTTTCTGCGGAAGACTCCAAGGTGGCGGAGGCGGAGGTGGTGGTGGTGGTGGTGGAGGAGTTGTAGGCCTTGGGAGCCACTCGGAGGAAGGTGAGCCTCAGGAAACATTTATATGTGTTTTCCGAAACAGGGCTTTGGGGAAAGGCGGAGATCCGGCGCGAAACCTTTGTGAGTTCTGAGGAGAATAGCAGTCACTCCCCACCTGAGACTCACTGAGATCCCGGCCTTGCTCAGCTCAGACACCCGAGGAGCTGATAAAACTGAAGCAATTTGAATTGGAATCTAATCGATGGCAGCTGCATTTGCTTGCTGTATTGTCTTTTGCAACTTGTTAATTGTAGGCTTTATTCTCATTTCCATTTTTCTTCTGTGAACGAAAAAAATCTAAAAGTTCTCGTACTTATCTCCGAGGTTGGATGTACCTCTGCCATGCTGCTTTTTGTTCCTATCACTTGAATATCTTTTTCTTTCTTCCTCACTCTTCTACCAACGTTTTCTCACCCCGTATGTAGTCAGTAACGCTCGCGGGGAAGGGGGGAGAATGACTTTAAGGCTAGATTTTCGCTTTTCATTCAGTCAGCCAGCCAGATACCCTTTAAGAATTGCCACAGGATCTTATAAAAGCGCAGAGACCTGTTGTGCGGGGCCTGAGCTGAAAATCGCCTTTCCGGTGCTGCTGATCCACGTCCAGTGCAAATACAGCGCAAGCCACTTATGTATACTGGAAAATCTGATGGCAGCAGTTTTAAAAGTTAAAAGAAGCACGTGAAATTAATTTAGTGTTAACAGTTTATTCAACCCGATGTATACAGAATGTATCAGTGGCGTGCTGTCGTGTCGGAACTGACCCATAACTGACCCTCCAGTCGCATTAGAAGGGGATTACCCATCCCTTGCCCGCGGAGCAGTAGCAGGTGGAATCGAACTGTGTGACTTCGGGATTGCAGTGCAGCTTCTTAGCTTACACTAGGCCACCAGAGCTCGCTCTCTATCGGTAGGTAAAGTGAAAAATCTTTAGGGCGTTGTGTTAGGTTGATTTTTTTCCCCCTAAATTTTTGAAACACAATCTATTTTGCACTCAAAACTACTAGATGACTGCTCTGTGACTGCTGTATTGGATAGTGAAGATCGAGGTGATTAAATAGCACACTACAGAAGTTGAATGGTGTTGAAAAGTCAGGCTGCTTATGAGCAGGTATTTTGTTTTTCTGCTTCAGATTACCTGTAAGATTTCTCGTGCAATTTTCAGAATTAATTAGAAAGCATATGAAAAACTTTCTTGGTGTGAGGTGTTGAGTGCTTTGCATATAGGTATTATTTTATCTTCACTAGAACTAAGAAGCTGGAGAGAGGATGAAAGGCACCCAAGCGTTGAGGACTCTCCTTCATAGGGTCGCTATGAGTCGCCTGCAACTGAGGGCACTTAACAACAAGAACTAAGAAGTAACTCTCCTTCAAAGGGTCGCCATGAGTCGCCTGCGACTCGAGGGCACTTAACAACTACAACAAGAACTAAGAAGTAACTACTATGATTCCTATTTTACAGATATGAAAGCTAAACTCGGAAAAAATAAGCCCCCCCAACCTTTTACCGTCAAGCCCATCTCAACTCATGGTGACCCCATGTGTTACAGAGTTGAACACCTCCACTCCATTCGGTTTTCAGACCTTACAAGTACCACGGGTGGATTTGAGCCACCAACCTTTAGTTTCTTCCTTTATTTGGCACCACCAAGGAAATATATTATTGTTATTATGTGCTGTTGAGTCAGACCAACCCATACCTGACCCTCCAGCAGACTTTCAGTAGCAGTTAATCTCATGAGAGATTTCCCGGCTTTCTCTTGTAAAACTAATGGATTCAAGCTGTCTTCAGGTTGATGGATTGTTGTTTTGTGCCATAGAGTAACTGAATGTTGATAGATTAGGACTGTTAAAAGAAACCTTTAAATTGCTCTGCTTATGGCAATCAGAAAGTCATACAACTATTAAATAGAGGATCCAGGATTCAAACTCAAGTGAGTTGTGACTTATAAATCCCATCCCTCAATGACTGAAGATTATTAGTAGCTTTTACCACAGATTTCACTTCACTGATACTCCTGTTCCTATACATCATTGCTTTCCTTCTATATTCATTGAGATGTGCAGATTTGGAGTAGGGAGAACTCCCTACAAGATCAAATTACTTATCAATGATGATTTAGTGGTTTTACACCTTTCTGTATTATAAATAACAAATCAAAATTTTGAACTGAAGAAGAAAGTTGAAACCCTCAAGGAGACGCTTGGGCACTGGAATAGTACTCTGGGCAATATTGAGTCTTGATTCGTTTCTGTACCTTATAAATTAAAAAAGATGGGTGAACTTGAAATTCTTAAAATGCTTAACAATGTGAGCATGTTGGGTTTGTTTTGGTTTTAGGTGAGTTGGTTTTGGGGTTTTTTTAAACTTTTTGGTGATCTCTCCTCATTCTTTATATATGTTTATATATCAAAGTGAAGATTTTCCTTTTTCCTAACATGTGAACTTCACATATTCAGACTCAATGCCTTTAAGTGGGAACTGCCTGATAGCAAACCCTTCCATTGGGTTTCCTTGGCACTAGAGGAGACTGCTTATCTTTGTCCCACAAAAGGACAGGTTAATTTGGACCCCCAGAAAGGGCATCCTTTGAATTAGTAGCACAACTGAGCCCTAAATTAGTATGGTAGTTAGGTGTCATTTAGTCGACTATTGACTCATAGTCATCCCATGGACAACAGAGCTGTTTCCCTATCCTCTGCCGTCCTCACAAGTTCTGCCATACTTAAGGCCATTATTAAAGAATTGATGACATAATTCAACAAACACACTCAGCCCTGGATGTCCTCACCAACTTGTGCCAAGAAATCTGGAGGGCAACCACCTGGCCAACTGATTAGAAGAGATCGATATTTGTTCCCATTCCAAAGAAAGGTGACCTGACAGAGTACAGAAATTATCGAACAATGTCATTTATATGGCACGCAAGCAAGATTCTGCTAAAGATTATCCAAAAATGACGAATAGCACATCAACAGAGAACTGCCTGAAGTGCAGGCTGAGTTTAGAAGAGACCGAGGTACTAGGGATATTATAGCTAATGTTAGCTGGATATTGGCTGAAAGCAGGGAGTACCAGAGGAATGTCTGTCTGTGTTTCACTGATTATGCAAAGGCAACAAACTGTGGCTGACTCTAAGAATGGGAATCCCAGAACACTTGATTGTGCTTATGCAAAACCTATACTTGCATCAGGAGGCAGTTGTCAGAATAGAGCAAGGAAACACTGTATGGTTCAAAATTGGGAAGGCTGTATGCCAGGGATGTGTCCTATCTCCATACCTTTTCAATCTATATGCAGAACAGATGATCCGGGAGTTTGGGCTCTATGAGGAGAAATGTGGCATCAGAATTAGAGAAAGATTTTTCAACAGTCTGCATTATGCAGATGACATAACCCTGCTTGCTGAAACTGAGGAGAACCTGAAGCACTTGCTGCAGAAGGTCAAGTACTGCAGCCTTCAATATGGATTGAAGCTCAACATCAAGAAAACAAAAGATTCTCAAGAAAACAAAGATTCTCACCACTGGACCGATTGGCAGCATCATGATAGATGCTGAAGATGATGAAGAGATTGAGATTGTTAACAGCTTTAGTTTGCATGGCTCCACAATCAACACTCTTGGTACCAGCGGCCAGGATATTAAAAGACTGATTGCATTGGGAAAGTCTGCTGTCAGAGACCTCTCCAAAGTACTGAAGAGCAAGTGTCATTCTAGAGACTAAGGTGCACCTGACAAAGGCCATAGTCTTTGCAATAAATTGCTAAGCATCAGAAAGCTGGACAGTGACTAGGGATGATAGAAGGAGAATTGATGCCTTTGAGCTGTGGTGCTGAAGAAGAGTATTGAATATACTATGAACTGCTAAGGAAAACAAACAGGTTCATCCTGCAGAGGTTGAAGCCAGGCTGCTCCTTGGAGGTAAGGGTTCTGAAGCTTTGTTTGACATACTTTGACATGTTGCAAGGTGAGACCAGTCCTTGGAGAGGGATGTCATGCTTGGGAGGGTGGAGGGTCAGAGCTAGAAAGGAAGACCCTTCATGAGATGGATTGATTCAGTGACTGGGTTATTGGGGGTAGGTATGTCAGAGACAATAAAATTGGCACCAGATAGAGCAGGGTATAAGGCTTTCGTACATAGGGATGCTATGAACCACAGGCAACTTGACAGCACATAACAAAACAACACACATTTTGTCTATAAAATCCTTCAGTATTATTGCTCAAGCTTTGAGTTTTTTTTCTTCCATTCTTCCATCTTGAGAAATGCC